GAGGGGAGAACTCCAGGCCATGGTGGAAACAGCACCCTGATCCCACATTGGTTTGAGCTTCCCCAGGCTTCCTCTAAATACCCAGCCCCTGGGGGAGGGGTTTTTCATGCAAGTGTGTTTGAATCCTGTGGGCCCAGCCCCTCTCTGAGGTCTTCCTGGTGCTAAGTCTCAACTTACACTGCAAAATGAGAAAGAGAACTTGATATCCTCTTTGTGTGAGTTCTCCAGGAAGCATCTCCTGAAAGAAGACCGAACACGTAGACAAAGTGAGTCTCATCTTCCCAGAATACAAAGAGCTGAGCCTGTCAGTGGGCATTGGACCCAATGCTCTGCCCAGCTTCCTTGTGTGTCTAGTTCTTTCCTTGAGCTGCACAGGACGACTGGGCTGCTGCACAGTGGTGTCTGCTCGCCCTCGGGCACATCTGTGCTGGCTCAGAGGCCAGCAAGTACATAATAGTGTTCACTCGGGTCAAAAACTTCAAAGTAATACACTCTATGATTGCTGCATATTCTCATTTCTAGGAGTCTGGTTTAAATTTGTTTAGCACACCTGAAAATAATGCCATGATAATCAAATCCTTGGTTGATAACTGATCTCTGATGAAATTGCTTTAATGCTTTATCCTATCCTGATTAGCCAGTAAAATCAATGTCTTTGATGTACATTTATTTCTGTTTGATACTGCACATTTTGTCTTAGTTCCCTGCTGTAGTACTTGATGACATGAAGGAAAAAGTATAGAATAAACAATGGATAAGTATTGCGTCAGGTACAAATCAGTTCTACAAGTGTTTGCGGAATCTCACAATAAGTACCCCTGAATGCCGCTTTATTCAGTGAGCAGCGTCTTAGGAATGGATACAAGGCTCACCATCCTCAGGTGCTTTTTCACAAAATTTCTCTCTAGTCAGTTCGGTGGGAATGTGTGTCGAGGGACTCTATATCAGAGTCACTACAGTCATATAGATTTTAAGCTCCGATTTCACCATTTGTTGATGAATAATTTACTGACTTTTAGTAAATCTGAATGTCCCCAGTTGTTTGCACAACTCACCTTGCTTACAGGGCATCCACTCCTGGAGCCTAGCTTGTGTGTCCAGCAATTGCTCCTTCAACCATCACATTCCACAGTATTTTCTTAGTACCTACAAGCTCACTCCATCTACCTGCAACTTCTGCACATGAACTCCTGTGATCTCGTCCAAGCTACTGGTCGCTATACCCAGGGACCAAGCCCATGTGCCTCTCTGTCCTTTGTACCTCTAGTCCTGTTTCTTAGCATCTCTTCAATCAACAAAGCACCCTCAGGTCAAAATGGAGCAGCAGGAAAGGTCTTTGCTTCAGATCTCTGTGCCCCTAGGATTCCTATGCATGTAACTCACAATTTTATTCTACCAAGATTCTGTACAATTTGTCCCTTCTCTCAGGCTGGATGTGGGGTATGAATATAGAACAGTGAACAACAGAAAACTGACAACGACTAAACCACAGAAACCATAATGTTTCTCTTCCTAAAATGTCTAGTTCCTAGGGGGAGAAAAACACCATAAGAAATCACAGAGCCATGTTGTCTTGTAGGTGACACAACAATGACCACGTTTACCCAGTGCACACTTACCCATCCTATGTGAGCATGGATGACACAGGTGAATATCACAGTCTTTGTCTCCAGGAAAATATGCAGGATTTTTGGAGCTCATCAATGCTTATGGAGTTCAAAGAAGACTAAGAAGCTATTGTTAGTTGTTATTGTATGAGTGCCCTGTGAATGCTTTTCCAACAAAGAAGTTAAATCCCCATCTGATAATTTGTGATAACCTCACGTGACCAAACAAACATTCTGGTATGACAAGAGCTTATGGAATCATGCAATATCCTGCAGCTATTTGCTGTGGACCTAGACCTAGCAGGACAGGTCGTGGTTGTATCACCTACAATAATAAAGTCCATACTCTTAAATATGTGGAGAACTAGAAATTACCTTTCAGTGTGGTAGCTCTCTTGAGGTAGGCTCAGGAGGTGTCTTGTAAGCAGAGGGTCAGGACAATGGAAGAGAATTTGACACAGGCTATATCAGCCCAAAGATCTGCTCTGGCCGTCACCTGCATGCATCACTGTGGCCTTACAGCATCGATCAGCACTGCCATATTCTGTGCCATTGTGTTTTCAGAATCTTATATTGCTGGATGTTCCTGAATGTCCATGTACTGGTGTAGGTTAGAGTAGAAAGCTAGGAAGTCATCAGAGCTAATTTCCTATATACCGACCACACCATTACTGCTCATCACCTTGTGAGCAGAGTGCACTTCCCTGGGCTCCAGAGTGTAACCTGTACAGCCTACGTACAGATGAGTCTGCCTGTCTGTGGTAGGGGCAATGGCAAAGGACAGCTGTGTGTGTGTGTGTGTGTGTGTGTGTGTGTGTGTGTGTGTGTGCCTCTATTTGAATCTGTGGAATTTGTGATGCTTCGCAACTTTTATCTTGGAGTTTATTCATGAGAGGTAGGATGACCCAGTCATAAGATAATGTCCAATATTAGAGCTGAAAAGCAAGAGCCTTCGCACAGTTGTTGGCATGTGTTGCCTAAAATGTTTTGGAACTTTCTGAATGTGTTCCATTAAAATGAGGTTTCACTTCCTTATCAACAAATCAATTTTTAGACTTAAACTATCTTTGGGAAATTATGGCTATGACAGACAAGAAGAAAAATATAAACAGAACAATAGATTCCTGATATGGAAAAATGTGGATAACTTGCCTGGGTATTGGAGTTATAGTATTCTAAAAAATAGAAATCTTTCAGTTCGGATATTCATTGTCTTTCTTCTACACATCTGTGTGTCTTCTATCTCACCTCAATTAGGCTGCACTGCAGTACTGGCTTCAAACATTGTAAAGCTTTGCAGAGTCCTTTCTTCTCGCTGCCTTGTTCCATGTGCTTTGCCGGCCCAAGGTCACTCCCATACACCTCCAGCCTATGGTCTTCTTCTTCATTTTGCTCTTGGGTTTCAGGTGATTACAAGGTCGGCAGAGCAGCCATGTCCCTGAGCTTCTTCCTGAGCCTGTGCTCTCCCTCAGCAGCTCAGATGTTGGTGCTGGGCGCAGCACTGGAATGTGATGGATGTAAGGGAGAGAGGTCTCTGGTGTGACATGTGCAAGTGCAGAGTCCATGCTCCCAAGAGCACCGTGCTGCTGGGATGGCCCCTGGACTCTGACCAACAGAGAAAGTAAAGCCCAATCTTGTTATTTTTGTAAATGAAAATAGTAGCACCATGTCCTTTTATATAATTTTAAAATCACTCTACCACAGTGTATTACTGCATTTTTTCCTTGAGATTAGAACAGTATTATTTTCAAATTTGGGATAGAGAATGCTGTTGCACTGTAGTTAAATTCAAATACACCTTGTGCAGATAGAAATTTTTTTTTCATTCCGGGAGTTCTCCTAGTCTAATTTCCAGGCAGGCTGGGTTTTTCCATGCATCCACTTCTCCATCTGAGGCTGTCACTGTGGGCAGCGCTGTTGCTCCCAGTCATACAGTGGTGGTCGGCATCATCCTCAGGCTGTATCCCAGAAATATGCAAAACTCCTGCATTGCCTGAGGTGTCTTTGGACCCAGAGAGGCAGCTGGGGATGTCAGAGCCACATTTCTTATCAGGGTTTGAGAAGTCTTTTCTTTTCCTTTCTTTTTTTTTTTTTTCTTTTTTTGGTTCCATGGATCAAACTTGGGCCTTTGCTCCTGACAGGCAAGCACTGAAGCCAATGAGCTACATCCCCAGTCCCCCACTTTGTTTTCTTAAAATAAAACACACAGAAAATAACTCTGTCCAAATCAGACATTGCTCTTTCCTCTCTTTTAGAACTCAAAGTGGGTTAGGAATCGTCGGTGTACTTTTCCTCTTATCTTTATATCATTTGGCATATCTAGAGGCCAGAGAGAAAAAGACCTCTGGGAAATCCATTAAGGGATCAATTCATCAGAGTTCACCAAGGGTTGCTTCATGTTGTGGGTCCTCATTTAACTCTGCACTGTCCATCCACCTCTGTCACCACCCAGCCGTGGTGACAAGCCTCTTCGTTAGGATGGTGCTTTGACTAGGAAAGGATAAATGTGTTCCCAAGCACGGAGCTCAAGAACTGGGCACACAGTCACGAGGCTTTGCAGTATAGATGAGTGTCTTGGGGCCTGGAGAGGCTTCTGCTGGAACCAATGTGAGGGGTATTTGTTGACTGCTCCAGGGCTGAAAGCAAAGATGAGAATACGGATCCCTCACTGGGGCATGAAGAGTGAGAACTCCTGCATGACTGTTGCCTGAGAAATGGACCTTGAGACCCAAAACATCCATATGTTCAGAATGAGAGAAGAAGACAAGAGCCATTCCAGTGGGTGGTAACAGAAATCTCTCTTAGTTGAAATCAGAATAAGTAGGGTAAGAAAAGAAATCTTTGTGGAGCTGTGGACATGGGAAGGATCCCCACTGTCAGTATTGAGGCAGGACTTTCTAATGATTTCTTTTTATTTCCTACTGAGCTCCATGCGTACAGAAGTTGTAGCAATGTAGTGCATAATACAAATGTGATCCCTTCATTGTCTCTCACCTGGTCCCCACGCCTGAGAACTGGCCAAATGAAATGAATAGACATTTCTTAGATAAGTAAGTATAAGGGGCTGACAGACCTGTGAAAATGTTCAACATTGCCTGCTATTAGAGAATTCAAATTAAAAAATGTTAAGCTTCATCTTACACCAGAAAAAATGGCACCTCCCAAGACATCAAACAGTAAGAAATGCTTCTTTGGCTTTCCATAAGAAAGAGCCTCCGTACTTTGCTGAAGGGACTGTAAACTAGAACAACCATATGGAAAACAGGGTGAAGACTTGTCATAGAACTAAAATTAGAATTTCCACTTGACCCTGTTCCCCTGCTAGGTATTTTCGTAAAAGAGCTAAACTCATCACATTATAGCAATAGATGCAAACCATTGTTTCTAGAAGCATCATTCTTGATAGCTAAAGAAACGCTTCCTTCTCTCACTTTCAGTGATGGGTATTTGTCCCAGCAATGAGAGAAGAGTAACTGAGACATGGGTAAGCACCCTTCTGGCAGAAGAGGAAGTTTTTGTCTTAGCTTCCCCATGAGGCTGGAGCACTGTGCGAGCACTGAGGCTGCTATCATAAGACTGGCAGTAATAATCAGCCTCGTCCTCAGATTGGAGCCCACTGATGGTCAGGGAGGCTGAGCTGCCAGATTTGGAGCCAGAGAACCGACCAGAGACCCCGGAGGGTCGGTTGCTATTGCTATAGATGATGAGTTTAGGAGCAGTTCCGGAGAGCTGCTGGTACCACTGGACAGAGTAGCCATCCCCAATATTGGTGCTGCTTCCAGCGCAGGAGATGGTGACTGATCCTCCTGGAGACCCAGACACTGAGGGAGGCTGAGTCAGCACGGCCTGCGCCCAGGAACCTGCAAGTGGGAGAGACACAGAGATGTGGATTTAGTTCTAAGACCAAAGGAGAAGGCCGGTCCCCACACCGCATGGACTAATCTCTGTCTCTGCCTGCTATCTCATCACCTGTGCAGTGAGCCAGGAGGCTGAAGAGGAGAGGGCACCAGGCCATGGTGGAGGTCATCCGTGGGTCCTACCTTCTGAGCCCACAGTAGAGCAGAGCTTCCCTCAAGTCTCTGGCTAGACCTCTTCATATGTGAGAGGAGGAGGCTCCACCCATGCAAATGGGGTTCCTGCCAGGTTTCTGAGCTCACCCTGGCTTCTGGCACAGTCCCCTAAGCCAGAAAGAGCTCATTGGCTAGAGCAGGGTGGGGTGGATTGGCTTTGGGGATGGAGCGTTCAAGCTGTAAGATGTCAGCTAAAGATGTGTGCGCATGGTGCTTTCCAATCTGACCACATGTAGAGCACTCATTCATAGGCTGTCAGCACGACACAGTTTCCTGCCCATAATATATCAAGCTGTGACTTCACGAATACAGCCTCTCAGGGCAGAAATTAGGAGTCAATGGTGAGTGTGCACTTGGACAAACTGGATACTGAGGAGGAGCCCAAGACACCAGCAGCCTGTAACACAGCAAAAGAAACAAGAAGAGCTCTCTTAGCAGCTTTCTTAGTGGGAAGATGCCTTTTAATACAATCAGAATCTTCTTTTGAAATGCATGAAGAACCAGGCTACTGCTGCCTGCTCCCAGTACACACTATAAGTCCTTTTACTCACAGTGATTTCCTTCCATAATTTTGCACATGCATAGCACTGAGTTCTCAGAAGCTGTTTGCTTCACTAGACATCTGCTGCGTTGCTCCTGTCTTGTCAGTTATACTCTTTCCAAACTTCCCATTCTTCATCCTCCAGATAATATTAGAAGTCTAACTCTACCATCCCTTGTGGTCCCGGTGAATTGTATGAGTGTATTACAGGTGCTACTTGGTAATATTTTGATATTCTTGTCTTTTGTATTCATCACTTTCTCATCTAATGCTCAAATGTGTTATTACTATTTTTGGTATACTGAGATTCCTGTTGAATTGGTTAATATAACTGTTGGAAAACAAAAATGTATAATTTTTTTACAAATAACTAGACCAGGGGGCCTGCCCCTCAGCTCAGTGGGGGCCTGCCCCTCAGCTCAGTTCTTTAAGTGGCTGCTTCAACAAAGCAGTCAGGTAGGTTGCTGTGGTTGGATCCCCACAACTCAAGCCAGCCAATCCTGCCCTCAGGGCATTCGGAGAAAAACAAACAAACAAAAACAAACAAACAAATAACTAGACCAGTGCTGACAAACCTATAACTTTCTGTTGTTGTATTTTTTTCATTTAAGGCAAAACAGGGTCATAAATGAGTGTCTTTTTAAAACTAAATATACAGGGTTAATTGCAGTGCTGACACATTGCAACAAGTAAATGGGGTTGGGTTTGCACTTTGGGTACTTGTCTCGAGAAGATTCATTACTGATCAACACTCTGTAAGTGACACTCAGTACCACGTGACCCAGGATTACTGCAGGAGATTCACAAGGTGGTAGAGATAGCAGAATAATCCACTGCTTAACCATCTGCATGCTTGTGGCAGGCGTGCCCCAGGATCCTCTTTCTGTTCCCTAGATAACTCATCATCTAAGGAGAGCATGAGGTAGTGAAGAGCCTTCGTGCTGGTGGTGAAAAGGTGTCCAGTGCTTTGGAATAAGAAACTTTCTGAGGCTGGCCAAATAGCTCAGCAGATGAAAGCACCTGCAAGCAGGTATAGGTGCCAGAGATTTCACGCCTTGTCCTGCAGTGACTGCCCCACCTCTGGGGTGCACTGAGATGGCAGTTGAGACTGGGCGTGGTGGTGCACACCTGTAATCCCAGCTCTTGGGAGTCTGTATAGAGATGGATCACTGCGAGTCAGATCAAGTAGTGAGACCCTGAACACCCTGTAAACTCTTCTGTAAAAAATGCAAAAAGAAAAAAAAGAAAAGAAACTTTCTGTTGTTGCGCCCCTCTCATCTCCCAATGCTTCTTATTGTATTCTCAGGGAACATTCTAGGTCATGTTTCTTCCAAGAAACTGGAGTGGGGGACACCATTATCCATCTATCTCTGCCTGACCTCAGGAGTGGACGACTACACAGCTTGGGAAATAAAATAGAAAGGAAGAGTGTGCAGTAGAGACAAGTTTTCATGTTACTTTGGGAAGTGCAGGTGCAGAAAAGTCACACTGTAATGGGGACATTCCTTGCCTAAGTGTGTGACAGCCAGAAAAAGCCTTTCCTATGTAGCCTGTGCCACCAGCTCGGTCTTCATTGGCCGGTGCAACAGCATCCCCTGCTGGCCGCACATGTGAGTTTCTCATGTACCTCTGACACTGGGAGTCCTAATCTGAGCAGATTGAGTTTTGTGATGTTAATTCAAAGTATTCTTGAAACAGTAAGACTCATTCATGGTGTTTGGCATTTAGATTATAGTTTTTCATGGTCATTTATGTCCTCCAGTCAGGTAAATACAAATTTTCCTTTTCAGGGCTTATGTTACCAGGTGTGTCATTATTACCTGCCGTGTGAGTTTGCTTCTACGTCGTGCCTGCGTTTACGTGCATACTTTCAGCATTCTTAACCAAAAGCATAGCTGTAAGTCTCCCTTTTAGTTTCCTTGTATTAACTGCATGCATGTGAATTTTGCAGGTGATGCCTTCCTTCTTGTTGCTGTGGCCAGTCCTGCCCTAAGGAAGCCTCATGGTCTCTCATTGTCATTGAACCATGTGCATATTTATACGTTAAGAGTTGCATCAATGTAATTGGTTTTACTTTTTAAGATCTAGGTAAAAAATAACTGACTGATGTGCTTCCAATATCATCCCAATCAAAGAATCATGGAGGGAGAATATAAAAGATATCCTAAGGTTGACCTGGAAGAAGTGAGACCATGACGGATCTGAGCCTCATGCCCTTTAAGTAGAGGTGTCATCCTCTATCTGGGAATGTACAAAAAAAAACAGAGAAGCCCAGATACTCGACTTGCCTGAAGTTTTAGAGGTAAGTCAAGGATCAGCACATCCTGGGGTCAGAGCAGGGACATGGAGGGCATAAATGACATTCACAGAGATAATTATAGACGCTTAGGTGTCCTTGTCACTTCTTTCTGCACATGGGGGTCTAAATAATGACTTGGGATAAGTAATTATGACTGCACGGAGAAGCAAGCTACAAAGTATATGTTTTCGTTCTATGGACAAAAATGGGCTTCAGAATGGCGCGGGACCATGTGGTTTCACTAGTTTGAGTGATAGCTGGCAGTATGAGCAGCCACCGGCTTCGTATTTACTATATTCAGTGACAAATAGTGAAGAGAATGAAGATCATCTTTAGCTTACTTGTGCAGGAAACTCTGACCAGAGGGAAAGTTGATGTGAAAGGTAATGAAAGGACTGCGGGTGCCACAGTTGCTAGGCTTATGGAATGCATGGCGACAAATTAGCATGAATCTGCATGAAAACAGTGAGGAGAATCACCATTGGGTTATTCTCAGAAGATGTGTGCTCTGGTCATTGTAGCCTTCCTTCCCTCAGATAAGATTCCTCTCTGATTAAAAAAAAAATTCCTACCTCATGAATTTGCTTAAAATTGGTTGGCATACAGCATGTCAGGCCACCCTTTGCTGGTCCTGTTCCTTGGCAAAACTTGCTAAAATATATTTGGCAAGTTGCTTTTCATCTCTATCTTTGTTAGTATGTTCCTTAGTTACAAATAAGTATCTGCTGAGGTAACTGTAGGTTGCTGTTTTTCTAAACTTTGAAATCAGCCACTCTGGTTCTTCTCACTAGGAGAACTAAGTCTGATCTGTGTGTACTTTTTAAATTTTCTACACACCCACAGTCACGCACTGTGAAATACTTCTTAATATTAGGACAGTTCCTGGCAGTGGAGTAAATACATACTTGCCAGTGGTCACCAGTCTGGGGTACCAGCTAAAAGCTAGAACTAGACAAGGAATTCTTTTGATAGATCAATAGATTTATTATAAAAAGACTGAGCCCCATTGCAGTGTAAATTTCTGAGATCATAGAATCTACCTGTCGGAAGCACTTTGTTCCGAGAACACAGAAGCAAGCCCGGGATATACTAGATGATTGGAACACAGAGTGGACTGACCGCTGAATGCCCTGACTTTTTGAGGTCAGACATACTAGATTCTGGGTCCCGTTTCTGTTCTGTTACTATTTAGACACCAGTTAGATACGGCGAGGCTGCTGAGAGTGCCATGACCAAGATGACACACGTCTCAGCGGTGGCCAGAGTTGGGCACAGGCTCAAATCTGTTGGATCCCAGGCCTCAGATGAAGTCAAGATCACCAGGTTTGTATAATCCCTGGAGAGAAATACACCAGGCTTAATGCATCTTAGGTAAACATCAATAATCATTTTGCTGACAAGTCTAGACCCATCATTTCCTAGGATACGTCTTTGTTCTTTCCCTGCATCCTAGTGCCAGGTTTGTTTTCCTTTTAGATCACTGTGACCTACATGACTACACTTGTGTCCTTACTGGTTAATCATAGCTTTCACACATTCCATAAGTATGTGCATATTGCTCTATAAAATCTTCTTAAAAGTGGGGTCCCCAGTCTACATATTCCATTTGGACCCATCCTGCTCCTGACAGGATCTCTGTGCTCACAACAAATATCCTTGCACCCTTAAACCTTATTGGTCTTAGAATTCATTATTTAACATTTAGAGAGCACAAGCTCATCATAAGGGACATGTAACACGTTGAGTGGTGTCATACCCTTGTCCTGTATTTGGAGATAATGTTATCATGGTTACAACAGAGAAAAGAAGATTGACAGAGAAAGTTCTGTGAATTGGGACCCAGAGTCCCTGCATCTGTCAGTCTAATCCAGACTCCCACCTTCCAGCCTCCTGAGAAGTGAATGAGAAGGTGAGAACAGAAGCGCTCAGGGTGTACGGGCACAGTCATAGGATAGCACACTCGTGGGCCAAGTGTTGCAGACATTAGACGAAAACCAGAGACCTGAGACAGCAGGGTGCCACTGCTTGTCATGTAGCTACTTTACTAAATCCAGTCAACCTGGGCTATCTACTTCTCTTTGATAATGCTCTGGGCCAACATGATAGTGTCCAGGTTTCCTTTTCCTTAGTTAATAAACTATACATTGTTCCCAATTTGCTCTAAGGACTTCATG